TGGAGACCTGTGTCCCCGAGAGCCTGAGCTGCCCCTCATGTGCCTGTGTGCATGAGGAGGCAGCCCTGGTCCTCTGGGTGCACGGCCCCCCACCCCGCCCTCGCCATCTGCGTCCTGTGGCTGTGTTCACAAGTCTGTCTTTCTGACCTAGTGTGGGATGTGTTTTCCACTGCTCTGCACCCAGCCTCCTCCCCCTCCAGCATGTCCTCCCGTACCTCCCCCAAGACGGTACTGGTTTGCCTCCCTTGGCCTGAGAGGGACCCTCCTTCCCTTGCTCCTAAAAGGTCCCCCAACCTGGCCCAGGGTTCCATAGACGTTCTCCTGCCCCATGCTGAGGACTGAGGCCCTTGGTGGCTGCCGACATGGTACCCACTCCTCTAAGCCATTGCTGAGAGCTGTGCCCTCCTTGTGGAGAAATCTGGGTTCCCTGCATCAGTGAGCCAGCAGTGGGCCACCAGTAGCGAGCAGTGGACAGAGGGCTTCTGGGGGCGGGAAGGGAAGGAAGCGGACAGAGGAGGTGGAAGAGGCAGAAGAACAGGCCTCTCGGGGTGTACTGCACTTCCCTTCTTCTGCTACATCACATCTTCCTATCTGGTCCCTCAGAGGAGCCCTCCATAGCTTCAGACAAGTGTGGTGCCTCGGGCAAGGCACAGATCCTCTGAACCATGCTGAGCTGAGCAGCCTGACCCTTCACTCGCTCTGGTTCTGGGGAAAGACCTCCTGCTCCCCCTACCCCCCTGCTCCCCCTATGCCCCTGCTCCCCCAACCCTGGCTCCCCATGTCTGGCTCAGACTGGACTCATAAAGGCCCAGTCTGCACCCAGTGGGTCCCAGCCCAGCAGCTGCATGATCTCATTTCTTCCTCAGGCCCCAGGGCCAGCCGGGGCCAGGTAGAGGAAAGGCTGCAGCAAGGGACCACTGGCTTCTCTCTTTTCCCTGATCCCCAATACCAGAATAGAGCATCTTCCACTTCCCCAGGGTTTGCTTCCTCTTTCTCCTGCATCTGTAGTCTCCTTTGTTTCCCCATCCGGCCCTTCCTCCCCTGCCTTCACCTCCTTTCCATGGCCATTCCCCTGCTTTCCTGCTGGACATCCAGCATGGCAGCAGAGCCTTGGGCCACCACCGCATTCCCTGCTCCCTGCAGAGCCTTCTGTGGGGACTAGGAGGAAGGTAAGGGAGACAGGGAGAAAAGCAAGCCCTGGAGCCTGGGCTCCCAGGGCAACTTCTGGTCCCACGGAAGGGGATCAGGGCAGTGTAGGTGGGACCTACCCAGGGGGGTGGAGAGGGAGCAGAGCAAGAGGCAGAGTCAGAAGGAGAGAATCTGAGCAGCCCTGCACTGAAAAATCACTCTGTTTGATTGTTGGTTTTGGTTTTGGATAGCGCCGTCCAGAATTACTTCCCCAAGTTGGTCCGCCTGGTAAGTACCTGCCTTTGTCATGCTCTCCTCTTTTTCTCATACATGACCTCCACACCTGCCCACAAACACTTGGGGTCCTGGCTAGGTTATGCCTTTGCATCGGTGCCTCATCCATTTCAGAGGATGTGGACTTTTGAGGAAATGGTGAATATTCTCCCTGGAAAGCACGTGTACAAGCACACAGAGAGACACGTATGCACACAAAGGCTGCGTCTCATTAGTAGAGCTTTCCGGGACCCCATGACATAAGTGCCCACTGTAACCTCGCCCACGGAATTTCCAGGGCCATTTCCTACCCGATCTCCTCACCTTTGGGCCTGTTCATCGCTTTGGTCATCCAGTGCCAGCGGTGTGATCCGCACTGCTGACTCCCCTTTTCGTTCTCCAGGATGGCCAGGAGTTATTCCCACCGGTTGCCATTGCCGTCGATCCTCCGAAGGTAACAAAATCCTTCAAGGTGAGGAAGAAGGACGAAGAGAGATTTGGAGTGTTGCCGGGGAGCTTTTATCAGCCGTGTAGTCTAAAAATGATCTGTTATTCTAGGAAATCATTACCGGTTTTGAGCCCTTGAAGAATATGATTCTGCAATTCCTGCAGGAGTAAGATCCGCTGGGACTACGAGGATGGGGAGGGCTGGGTGGGATGGCCTTCCCTAGCACAGGTGTATACCTCGGACCTTTCAGATCTCATTCGGGGCACTGACCACAGAGATGGCCTGTCCCCTTTGCTCCCCTGCAGGTATTACTTCATCTATGACTACGGAGATCGACGGGGTCTCCTCAATGCTTACCACGATGAGGCCTGCTTCTCCCTGACCATTCCTCCCAACCCTAAGGACCTAGGCGCGTGAGTATCGTAGCTCAGACTCCGGTCTTGGGCTGTGTGGCTCCCCGGCAGACACGGGGCAGCTCTTGGAAGCACATGTGAGGCTGGACTGCCAACTCCTTTTCCTCCCCCACCCCACCCCACCCCACCCCACCCCACCACAGGAGCAACTTGCATGAGTACCTCAAGTATAGCAGGAATCTGAAGCAGCTCAAAGAACCCTGTAAGTGTGTGAGGGGGAAGAGTGAACAGAGTAAGGGCCCTTGTGGGGGTAGGTGGGGACAGTCACAGGAGCCAAAGCTCGGGATGTGACAGCGTGCTGAAGTTCCCCACTGCTCTTTTCTACAGACTTGCGGAGACAGCTGCTGAAGTACACGAAACATGACATCGTAGAGGCTCTCAGGCTGTTGCCCAAAACTCAGCATGACTGCAGTACCTTTGTGGTGGACATGTGGCTCCAGAAGGTGAGCGCCTGCTTCCTCCCTGGGTCAGGACCAGAAAGCTGGAGACAGTAGGAAGTTAAGCAGGATCCCGAGCTCCTGTTTTCTCCCCTTTCAGGAAATGATGCTCTGCTTTTCTGTCAGTGGAGTGTTCGAGGAAAGTAAGTGTCTACAGAATCCCCTGTCCAGATCCCCTGCTGCTTTTCTTCCCTGGGTGGGAACCCTCTCAGAAATCTCCCGGCCATCATAATTCTATGCCTTTCTCCTCCTATCTTGCCTCTCTGTTCTCCTACCATCACTCACGCTGCGCACAGGCCGTCCGGGTCGATCTAGGTCCATGCCTGTCTGCCCTGCAGCTCAGAAATTGGGGACACGGGCTGTGGAGCTTGATGGTTCCTCTCCCAGGTCTTTCCTCTGTGACTGTGGGCATTTACTTGACCTCTCCATTTCCTCTCTTCGCAAAAAGATGGGTTAGCACCCATCTCCCAGGCAGATGAGAAGGTGGGAATCCAGTGAACTTTTGAAGTGGTTTCACGCTGGCTTTCACTTTTGGAGTGGTTTTCTCCAAAAAGTGTTAGGGGACCCATCCCTGGGAGAGGATTGCTTCTATTGTTGCCTTCCCGTTTAAACCACAACTTCCTGACTCCACATGAGCAACTGTTCGGGTCCTGCCCCTTTCAGTATAAGTCTGTGACTGGAGAATGCTGTGTGAGTGAGTGAAGCATGTGCCAACTCTAAGCGGGTATTGTTTTTGCTGTCCTTGAAGTAGAAGCAACATCTCAGGGATGTTTCCGTGCCTTCACCCGGACTTTCATCATTACTCCTGGCAGCAGCGGCTGGTAAGTGCTGTGCTGTAGCTGGGAACACCCATCTCAGCCTGGGGCCAGTGGCATAGGAATGTGGTGGTGCAGCCCTCCTCGCGAAAGGCCAACAGATAGATCCAAGGAGCAGTCTAGCCTAACGCGTTAAGAGTGAAGGCTCTAGAATGGGAATACCAGTTCTTGTCCTGACCCCAAAACTCACCAACTCTGTCCTTGGTCAAATTACTTGACCTCTGTGTGACTCGGTGTCTTTCTCTGAAAAAAAGGGATAAGAACACGCAGGTCTTGGCCTTCTGTATAGTGTAAATGCACTGGGGTTAAATCTAGAAGTCCAGTGAAGTTGGTAGACAGTCCCTCCACATGGGTACCAGCCGCGTAATCTGGGAGTCAGGTACAATAGGGATATGGAAGACATCCAGTTGCTGGGTGGCAGTCGTGAAGAAGGATCCTGTTGCTGGTGGTACACCACCAACAGGCTGTGCACCTGTTCAGTTGCTTCAGGGACTGTTTTTCCTCCAGTCTATGCATTGTGAATGACCACCTGTTTGTGAGGGATGCCAGGCCTGATGAGATCCGGGTGGCCTTTTCCATGCCGGTGGCCACACCCTGCTTCAGCTCCAGGTCCTCCCTCTCTGAAGAGCGTTTGAGAATGGTCCAAGCTTTCTCCATACAGTCTGGCATGACATTCGAGTGGTCGCAGAAGTGAGTACCAGGTCACACATGTGAGAGTGGTGAGGCTGAACCAGCAGGGGGGTGAATAGTGGAAACTCACACGAGATTTGGCGAGAAATGACTATGTGGACATTTTGTTTCCCCTCAGCATGGGTCTGTGAAAAGGGCATCATACTTCATACTTTTATACTGATGTATGTAAAGAATTTCTGAAATAGTGTGATGCTCGAGTGGCATTACCTTTTCTTATGGCTTATATCTGGTTGTCCTCTCAAAGCTTCATGCACTCATAGCTCAGAGGTGGAGCCTTGGGGAGGTGACGGGATCGTGGGTGTGTGATACTAGATCACAGGTGCATGTTACTGCATTAGTCCATCGATGGGTTGAATAGCTGGATGTGACTTTGGGAGGTGAAGCCTGGTGGGAAGAGGTGGGTCACTGTGGGCATGGCCTGGAGTGATATAGATATATATAGCGAGATATAGATTTAGATGGATGCACAACATAGTGACACCCTTTTCCTCTCATGATCCTTCACTGCTTCCTGCCATGCCATGAGCTCTTTCTCCTCTGCCATGCCCCTCTGCCATACCACCCTGCCTTAGAGCCAGCCAACTATGGTTTGAAAACTGTACAGACTCTGAGCCAAGATAAACCTTTCCTCCTTTAATTTGTGAGCATTGGGCATTTTGTCCCAGCAATGAGAAAGTAACTAAGACAAATTTGATACGGAAAATCCAAAAGAACCCATCACAACAAGGCACCTGAACTAATAAATAAGTTCAGCAAGGTTGCAACATATGTAACCAATGTACCAAGTCATTTGTACTTCTGTGTACTTGCAGTGAACAGTACAGAAATGAAGTTAAAGAACAAATCAATTTACAATAGCGCTAGAAGGAGTAAAACTCTTACGAAAAAAAAAGAAATTAAAGCAGCCCACACCTTAACACTCTTGACACCTAAAAAACGTGGCTACAAAAATTAAAGAGGTCTTAACAAGTGGGAATCCATCTCAAGTTCATGGGTTGGAAGCCTTAATGTGGTTAAG